GGTCCGGTTCAGCTCAGTCACTGCCGCCGCCCGGTCAGGTAGGAGGGAGAGGGCGGGCGTCATCGCCGCCAGCTCCGTCCGCCTGGCTCCCCCTCAGCGCTGACTCGTCCCGGCAGGCGAGAGCGGTCCGGGGGGGGCGCGCCTTTCGCCAGGGACGAAGCTGTGCTTTGGAGGATGGCAGCTGGACGTGCCCGGTGCGGGTAAGCTGCGGAGGGGCGGGTGAGCGAGGAGAGGGCGGGAGGGAAGGAAGGAGGAACTGCGCTGCCCTGCGCTGCCTTTCCCGCTGCGCGCTGCCCCGCGGTAGGGCCCGCGGCCGGGTGTGCGGTCCCAGCTGGGCGGAGTGGAGAGCCCCGAGTGCGGTGTGGGGTGCCGCTGCCCCGAGCGCCCGCAGTTCAGCCTGGCTAACAGGCGGCTTTGAGACCGACACTTGTAGACTTTCGCAAGCCTTAAGGTTTGAAGTACCCCTCTAATCTTTATTTGATTTATAATAATTAAAAAGAAAAAGGCTTGTGGTGGCACTGTGCGTTTGGGTGACGTGGAAAATGCCGTCTGCTTCTGTCACGTTTCTAGTTTGTAACGGAGTGGCATCTTCTCACGCTATGTAAGTGTGTATCCTAAAGCAGAAGGGATAGAAAGCACGTAGCTTGCTTGGCAATTATGTTGTCTGTCGTCCGCCTCCCCCCCCCCCCCAGATTGTGTTGCGTTCTGCTCTGACTGCTGAGCATTTCAGTGAGCTTATAAATGTGACCTAAAATGTTTGAAAACAAAATCCAGGATAAGTTTGTGGTGTGTATGTTATGATGGTTTTTGTTTGTTCATTGGGGTTTGGTTGGTTTGTTGGGGGTTTGTTTGTTTCCCAGATGACGTTTCCCATTGTGCTTTGGAACTGGAGGGATGAAGGCTCTTCTTGGCAGTCTGAAATTACTTCTCTTTATTTTCAGTTTTGCCCTCTTTCCTTTCCCCCATGTGCTCCTCCCTAGACTTCTCCTGATTCTCATACTCTTCCCCTCCCAATGCCCCATTCTTTCTCCCTTTAACAGTCACTGTTTTAGCAGTCTCTGGTGAGCAGGCTCTGTTGATGGTGACGGGTATGGTAAAGCAGTTCAGGTCCCTCTCCTGAGCTGTCTGCCCCTGTTTTTGTTGAAGATGATCACCTTGATGACAAGACAGCAAAACTTCCCTCCAAAAAGTCTCTGTTCCCTGACATTTGCCTTGCTCACCCTGGTGTTATCAGCCCTACCTAGCACCTGATGCTGGACAGTGACTGGATGCATAGGCACACTAGTTTGTCATTTCTGCAACAGACATAGCTGGTAGAGGGATGGTCCAACAGTGGCAATGCTGTCTTAAACTGCTTTTGCAAGGCTGGTTGGGGTTTGATGTGTAAACCCTGAGGCACCTCTATTTCCAGGTGTGTTTCCCAGCCTACTGCTCTGTTTTGGAGGTGCTCCCTCTGCTCCTGTTACTCTCATTTGAGCTTCCCAGAGGCTATATATACAGGGATGCAGATTTACATAACTGCTGTGGAGTAAGTAGATGTTTTGGTTTCAGTATGGAGATAATCAATTTCAAATACTGCTTGCTTTTTCTTGTCTATTTGTGGTTTCCTATTCAGGATTCTCATCAGAGTCGAGAGAGTTTTTTTACCACAGGAGTAAATACCTGGAAAGATGCCAGGGAAATGGTAACTCTACATTGACTGAGGACAGTCTGACTCCATTCTTGCTGAAAATAATGAGATATTCTGGGTGTATCAGTAGCAAGCAGAAATGTATAAAATAAATCAAGCTCTTGCAAGGTAATACTTTGTTGTTGTTGTAGAAGGAAAAAAATAAACCAAAATATTAGGAGCTGGACAAAATAATTTACTGCCTGTCATTTTTGCTGGTCACCCATGTAGACTTTGTGGTGGAAGACGTTTTAAGGTGAAGCACAGATGATTCTCTTGTCCTTGTTCAACAGGTTAAATCAAATTTCCAGTCTATGAACCAATAATACAAGCTATTACTGGCACAAGTGTAGTACAAATTTTAGGACAGGTAGATGAAGGCTTTATTCTGCATACATAAGACCTATTACTGCAATGGGCCTTGGCTGTACTGTTCTAATGATGTTTGCTTGGTCTCTAGTTACTTGTTTATAGCCTGGTGTAGGGCAGAGACACATCAGGGATTAGGAACTGGGGAATTCAGATGTGTGCTTGTGAGTCGTGTACTGCTGTCTGATTTACCTGACAAGAAATATGTATTTGAGACACTACAAGCAATTGTGTGCTTCTTCAGCAGCACTGGAGGGAAGAAGTAGACACAAAGACAGGAAGAAAACAGTTCTGGTTTGGGAAAATCCCAAACCAGTTTGATTTATAATAAACAGCTCCATTTCAGTAACTGTTTGAAATTCTCACTGAACTGATTAAGGGAAAATTTCTGCATGGCATTGTAGGCCAACTACAGATGTTCAGCAAACTTTTGTCATTCAAGTGTGGAAGTTTTCAAGAAAAAACTGTATTTGTATCTTATTTTGTTAGTTTTTGAGGAAATGTAATCCATAACTGACTTTTAAATTGGAATGCTTGAGCATTGCTTAGTGTCTGAGAGATTATAGCAGAGTGAAGCCATGGCTGTGAGATACCCAAGTATGGGAGCAGCTCTGAATAAATGGTCTGTCATACCTTTGCTTTAAACTTCATCTCTGCCAGCCTATCTTCCACTGGCTTTAGTGTAGATTAGGAGCAAAGCTCTTTCTGTGGGGAGATCCACTGAGAAGTGAAGAAGTGCTGTGAGAGGTGTGCTGTGGCCTGTACTTCAGATCGGATTCATGTTATGTGAAGATTACAGTCTTATTTTGTAATGGGAGAGGGGAAATGTACTCTGCTTGTCTGCCTCAGCGCTTTGGTGTTTTTTTCACTGAGCCAAAGCCAAAACAGAGCTATTGAAGAAGGCCTGAATGAAATTGTCTGTTTTCTGGGCTGTGCAAACCCTGTGTTTAAGCTAAGGGGCTTTCCTTTCTCCCTTTCTCTCTCCTCAGAATAACACATCAAGTTGACAGACTTCAGGGTTAGCAAGGAATCCAAAAGACAAGAGACAACTAATAAAACAAAACAAAACAAAACCCAACAAAACCAGAAAACTCCCCAAACCAACCAACCAAACAGAAACCCTAAACCCTAAAGGAAATTCAGGAAAAATGTGCTACAGGAGAGGCCATTTCCAGACTTGCTTTATGGTTTGCTCTTTCCTCAGTAGTGCATATACCATAGCTTTTTCACTTCAGGGTTTTCTATAACAAAACAACCTGGGATCTCTATCTGTGATTTTATTGCAAGGTTAAAAAGTTGTAGTGTGAAAGGTTAGAACTGTCAGCATTGTAAACAGCTGAGGGAAAGGCAAGCTTTTCTTTGGAAGGTGTTGACTACAGTTATGTATACCACTGATGTAAGCATTATAGGATGGAAGAGTTCTCAGAACTTCAGTGCTTACTGATAGGACTTCTAGTCTGGTTGGTCTTGAGGGAACTTGAGTCTTGAAGATGGTGCATGCGCACACCTAGAGGAAGTTGACTTTTAGTGGGGAGACGAAAATGGGCTCCACAATACCCAGAGCTTTCTTCTGACCAGAGCCTTGCTGCAGCAGTAGCCGTGTCCATGAGCTGTGTCTGGAACTAGGCTCACTGGAGGTTCAGCTGGGACATGACCAGGACAAGATGTCGCAAGGATAATCTTCCCTATTTAAAAAATGCTCAGAAACTTAACCATGTTATTTTCTCTTTAGAAAAACAGATTTTTCTCTTTTTAAAAGAAAGGTTTAGTCTTGTTTTCTACTGTGGTTATAACAGCTATCAAGTTGTGGGGGTTTTTATTTTGTTTATTTGGTGTTTTTTTTCTTTGTGCAGAGATGTATTATTTGGATGGAAAAGTGAATTCTTGTAGTAGATAAGTTTTTGCCATCCTGAATGTCAAAATGAAATGCTTTCTGAGCTTAACTTCATGCACTAAAGCTGGATGATGGATTGATTGTGTAATTCTACCCTAGCTTCAGGAAGTAGAGATATGTTAGCTGTAATTCCATTTATTATTTGTAGATAGTACTGTCTCTTAAGACTATATATTATGGCTGTAATTCTTAAGGCTTCTGGTACTGGAGTTAAGCTGTTTGCTTCAGTGTGCTTTGGGAACAAGTCCCAGTAGATATATACTAACTGTTCCATGTCCATTCACTGTCACTGCAGGACTGAAACCTCCTAAGAGCAAAAGGATACCTAGCTTCTGCGATGCTACATTAGGTATAATTCATCTGTCTTCTCAGGCACGATTTACAAGGGAGCTAATGTAGTGTTTGCTCTGTGTGTTTTCAGATCCAGGTAGTTGTCTGTGAATTCATAGTATGGTATGATTTCATAGTAGTTTCTCCCTAACTTGCAGGTGGCCCATACAGAGCTGCAGCATGCACAGTGCAAGATATTAAGCGTTAGTACATGGAAAAGAAGACATTTTCGTAATAATGAATGCATAATACAGTAGTATGAGGCACAGATGTCTGTAATGTTGCCGTTTCTCATCCTTAGTTCCCAGGATAAGCGATGACTAAACTAGCATTTTCCCTTTCTATTGTTATAAAGTCCTTTTGTGATGAATCCAATATCATTCTTGCTATTTTAGTGCAACAGCTCGTGCAGATGATGTGAGCATCAATCACAAGCATAACCACTGTTAACAGTGGTACTTTCTTTTCTCTCCAAGAAAAGCCCCAAGTATCATGTACTCAGAGTTCCTATGTGTGATTGATTTTTTTTTTTCATTTTTATTTTTTTAGTTGTACAGTCACTTTTCAGGTACATTTCTATTTGTCTTGCTAAATTTCACTTTTTTATATAACTTGCTTTCCTCGCTTTCGTTGCAGGTGGGAAGACTGGATATTCCCCTGAAAAGACAAGTTTGATCTCAAATCCTGCCTGTCTACGATCTTGAGAATTAGGAAGCCACAAGGATCATTTAGTTAAGTATTTCCTGCAGAATTCTCTCACCGGTGCTTGGGAGCAGTACAGACTGTACAAAGTAATAGCCATGTAGTAGGGTTGTAGAAAGATGGCTTCTGTATTACCTTTCAGCTGATGCAGTGCACAGTAAATAAGTTTGTGCTTGTTTTTTTCATTAACTTCTTTCCTCTGGCTTCAACTCTTAGTTCCTGGGGTGGAGTAAAACAGAACATAGTGTTGGTTGCTTCCCTTCCCCTCTATGAAGAATGTTGGTTTTATGGGAATGTAGGGTATATGGGAATAGCTGAGTTGCTAACTTCCCATAGCTAATAACTTCTGAGTTAATTGTACAGCCTGGTTGATGGAACTGATGCATCAAGGTGTAGTGCTAAGCCTTATCAGGCTAGAACTTCTCACAGTTTGGAATGCTACTCCTTTTTTCCTGCCTTTTGGGTTCTTCACAGTTTGTGAACGCCAAAAGTTGGTTTATTTATTCAGTGAAGAGTGCTTTGACTCTCTGTCAGTAAGCAGAATGGGAGTATGCGGAGAATAAGTGTAGTTTTGAATGAAAATTTACCAATCTTCAGAAATGAACAGTACATTGACCAGACTGCTTGGATTTATTCTTGTGTGTGCAGGTCTAGTTTGGAGGTAGCTGTTCCTGTTACATACAACACCAGTTTCAGATGTACACAAAGCCAGATTTGCCTTTGTGGCCCCAGTGGTGGGGTAAACCATGAAGTTGTGCTTCGGATACGGTGTGTGTTCAGTTACGCCTTTATGTTGACTTATTTTGAAAGGTAAGAGGCTGTGAGCTTTGTGCAGTGTGTCAGTGATATCCAGACTGAAGCAAAAAATCTGACTGCAGCAGCATTTGACTGCTGCAGTTCCAAGATGTGGATTTCGTGCAGATATAGCCCAAGTGTCAAACTAGCTTGCTCAAGTACCACTGACTGGCAAGCTGTGGTCTTGCAAACTTCCACACAGGTTACAAATGAAGTCTCCTGAAGGTGTAACTCAGCTCCAGAAGTTGGAGTTGGGTATCCATGCGGTGTGTCTGGGGACCCATTGGCATCCTTTATTTGCAGAGGGCAGCCTGATGTTCCAGGAGGCAGCCATGAGCACTTGCCCTTTTTTCCAGGAGACTGGTCTCCCTGAATCTCCTGGTTGGGAGTACTGAATACGACCCTGCTTTGGCATTTCTTGAGTGATCAAAGTAAAGATTTTTGTTGCTGACTTACTTCTGAAATTAATGAACCAGTGAGGAGAAACTCTCTGAATCTATATACATCAAAGTCAACAGAGGGGCTTTCATGTTTGCCTTACCTCCCATGCCCCCTCACAAAAGCCTTAGCAAGGTCAATTGGAGGAGCTCCCTGTTATGCCTCAGAGCTGTGGGATGAATCACTGCTGTCCATTCCTGGCAGAAAGAGTGCTTGAGCGCATCTTGTGGGGGACTTGCTTCCCTGAAGCCCTTATCTGGCACCTGCAGTCCCTCCATAACCTGATGCAGTCTGGCAAATGCACCAAACAGGCTGCTAGCGTGTCAGCTCACCCTGCTTTGCGCTTCCTCAGGGGGTGCAAAGTCTTAATGTTCACTACTTTTGCTGTGCTGGTCCTTGTTCCACCATGCTAAGCTTATAAAGTAGAATAAAAAGTTTGTTTTAACATATTTCAGACTGAGGTTTTGGAGGCATGTGGACACACAGAGCTTACAAGTCAGCTCTAATCTACTTTGGGACAATGCTTATGCTTAGCTGTACTGAATGATTTAGAGGCTTTGTATGTCCCACAAAGCCTGAGGCACAGGTTAGCCTGGGAGCTGGTAACCCAGATTGTAGTTAGCATCTCTGCCTCTGATAGTGGCTGTCTACAGTAAAAGAAAGTCTAGAAATGCCTGTACTGTATGGTTAAACACTGGAACTTTTAGTCCTAAGATAAAGTGAGGACAAATTCTTTGTGCCCCAGAAGTGGTTATTCTCCCCATAAATCATAAACGGACACTTCTAACTGGACTGGGAGAGAGATTTTTATATGGCCCAGTTAAGTCCATCTGCCTGCACTTGAGGTGGAAGAAGAAACATTTTTCAGGCTGTTTATATACCCTGTTGTGAAGTTTTCTGCCTGCAGATTCCTGTTCAGCTCTTTTTATAATAATAAAAGTGAGGAGGTGACAGTGAACTTCAGTTATGTCATATAAGAAATATTTGAAGGAAAGACCCCTCTGGAAGGTTATAAAAGAGAAAAACAGCCCTTAAACAGGAATATGACAGTCTGTCAAGAGGCAGGTCATCAACAAAATATTGAGGAGCAGGGGAAAAAGATGGTGGGAACCCTGTGCAGCGCAGTGTAGTCTCAGAGCCCAGACACAAAATGAAACACAAAATCTTGTAAGAGACAGTTGACAGAGCTGAAATGGGAGTCAGCTAGGACAGGAAGCTTAGGTTTTAAACTGTGCCATTTGCTTCTCCTGGAGGCAGTAGTCACTTTAGTTGATTAAAACTAAGAAAAACTGAAGCCTAATTAGATATTGTCTTTAATTCCAGGAAATAAGAAACTTTTCTAGTCACTGGGAAAGCTAAAGCTTTACTGTTAACACAGGCACTTAAAGCTAGACGTACCTCTTTCTGTTGTGTTCTTTAAGGGTTGGAAATAGAGGGTGGGAAACAGCCATGAACTGGGTTGTCCATTACAGCCACATTTTTTCTTCCTTCTCTGTGCTTCAGGCTATTTATTCTTGCTGGGAGCTTTCTGAGTTGTAGAAAGAACTTTTTTACAAATCCGAAATGCTGTTCGTACCCCCTGGGTGAATTTGTGTTCCTCACTTGTGCCTGATTCTTGTTATTTATGTGTGTCCCTCTTAGCACTTTAGTTGCACAGCCTTAGTTAATCTGATTATCCTTAGGAAGGACTGAAGTTTCAGTCATTTTCAGAGACACTGTGATTTAGGGCCCTTTTTGTAAAGAGATTTTATCTGGGTTCGACTTGCTCTGCGAAGGTTCATTGTTCACACAACAACTGATTGCAGTATTTCTACGAACTGCATGAAGTCTTCACCCTGATGGGTTTTAATTAAATGCAAAATTACCCAAAGCTCAATTTGCCTTTATAAGAAGTATTTTGTAATATGTTTCAAGTTGGATGTCCTGGCTCCAGCTGCTGCCACAGATGCTCTGTGCAGAGATGTGCTTTCTTTTGGTGTGCATAAAACTGTCTAATAATCTGAAAAAATTACTTTGCAAAATGTAGATCCCTGGTGTAGGGCTGTGTTAATGACATAAGGATCTATCAGGGCAGTTTAATGATGCTCAGTGTTGCATTGCAGTTTCTGTTAATCTGTGGGGAAAATCACTGCTGTTTTGTTTTCCTTCGGTAGTGGCGTATTGAAGCTGATAAATTGCACAGAGAAATTTAGGTTGGAAGGGACCTCTGGCGGTCATCTGGTCCAACCTGCTGGTCAAAGCATGCTCAACTAGATCAGGTAAATCTTTCCTTGTAATAATTGAAATTTCACGTTTCCCAGTTTGTATCCATTACCTCATGTCCTCTTACTCTGCACCTCTGAGAAGAGTCTGGCTCCATCATCTCTGCAGCCTCTGACTTGTAACTGTAGGCATCACTAAGGTCTCCCCAGAGCTGCCTTCTCTTCTCCAGGCTGAACAAACCTAGTTCCCTTAGACTCCTGTGTATCCTTTGCTGCAGCTCCCTGACCATCTTGGTGGCCTTCCACTGGACTTGCCCTAGTGTGTCCATGCTCTTCTGCTACTGGGAGTACTGAAACTGGGTACAGTACCCAAGATACAGTCTCACCAGTGGTGAGTAGAGAAGAATAAACACTTATTGCTATCTGCTGGCTGCAGTCTTTGTTAATTCAGCCTCGTTCACACTTGGCCTGCTTTGTCACAAGGCATATTGCTGACTCATATTCAGCTTGTTGTCCATTGCAAGTCCTTCCATGCAGCGCTGCTCCTCAGCAGTAAGCACCCAGCCTATAGCAGAGCATGGGTTATTCCCTTTCTCCAGCTTCTGATTCCTCTGAGTAGCCTCTTACTGGCCCGCACATAATCTGTGAGCTTGCTATGAGTGCACTTCACTTCACTGTAGTATCATTCCCTCAGTCTCTGAGGGGTACCACTGATAACCAGTTGCCAGCTGGATTTTGCATGGATAATACAGCCCTTTGAGGCTGGTAGTCTGGCCAGTTCATCACCCAGGTTTTCATGGCAGCATTCATCCTAAGCTGCTGAGGCTGGTCTTTGCTATTTACTATGTTTGAGCTATAAAAGCTATATTCAATCTGAGGAGCCTGGTTTTGACACTTTGTACGTTTACGGGCATCCTTTTGGAGAGGAACATAGGTTTTCCTCTTTCCACTGAAGAGCAGCTCTGTGCTGACTGATGGTTGATTGGCCAACCAAGACTGGGGGGATAATGGAAGGGGATGTGATCACTTGTCTGATGAGGCAGTGATACTGGATTTTAGAGGTGAGAGCGCGCCATTGTAAGCATGAATGGCTGCTCTTGTGAACAGTGATGAATAAGAGATCCCCAAAATAAGACAGGATTCTCTGTCAAATCAAAAGATGTGCTAAAGTATGTAGCCTGCGTTAACACATTTGTACCCACAGGTATATATTTATTGGAGGTGCAAGATGTCTGCCCTGAGGTTGATTTCTAACAGAACCTCCCAGCAGGCCTTGTCTAACTCTGATTACACCTGGGACTATGAGTACTATGAGTATGGACCAGTGTCGTTTGAAGGCCTGAAGGCTCATAAATGTAAGTTCAGTAGAGACATGCCTTACTGCAGCTGAGCTTCCCCCTTTTAATGTTCCTACTCTTAATTTGTAATTGATTCTACAAAAATATCTGATATTTTTTTGAAATCTCAGCAATTGGAGGTATTACTCCATTAGAGTCTTTGGTATTCTGTGCCTTTTTTGTAGGATGCTTTTCTTGTGCATGAGGGAAGTATGGATTTCTTTGCTGTGGTAGAAATTTGTCAATACTGAGATTATCAGACTGTTTAGAAGAGTTTATAACAGCAAATGCAGCCATTGCTGCTTCTGGTGACTACTTGGTATGATCTGTGTTGCTTTGTTCTTGTTCCTGTTAGTGCTAAAAAGTGGTGGGCACCCTTACTGCTTTTGGTTTTTAAGGCTTTTAAAATGAAAAGGAAGAAATTTCTCCTTCTGAGGAAATTTTTATCTTTGGGACTTTCTTCATAGGAGGAGTATTCTAAATTCAGCATTCTGGTAATACTGGAGCTGTTTTAGAGTGGAATAACAAATGGAGGATGGGAGAGAGGGATGGAAAAACCTGGGTAGGAACTGAGAGGAAATGGAGCTGGGACAAGCTGCTGCAGCTGCACCAGCATTTATCAAAAACCTAGACAATGCATTTGGCTTTTAGGATTTTTTTATTATTTTTTTCTTTTAGGGGAGATGGTTGGGGGAGAGGGGAGAGGAAGGAAAAAAACCAAGAGACTAGTTCATATTTACTGTACCTGTGTGGGAAAATGGGGGAAATTAGAGATCACCTCTGCCAAGTCAAGCAAAGTTATAACACTAAGGAAATCTTAAGGTAAAATGCAGCTGCTACATCCAGCATGGAATGCGGTTGGCATGCACGGAATCTCTCCTAAGATAGTTCCCCAGGCAACCCTGCAACCTTGGCATATGCTAAGAGAAACTGAATGGAGGGTGAAGCAGAGTGAAGGCCCCGCGGGCAGGCTCTGCTGTACTCCTTGTGGGAGTGGGAGCTTGAAAGCACCATGCACTGATAAACCGCACACAGCTGCCAAACAAGCAAACTACATTTGTCTTTTTAAAAGCAAAGTGAGAGGATTTCACATCCATCAGTAACAAAGAGCATGACTGAGTCACTCAAGCTCCATAGGCATAGAGGTAAAATAATGGGAACTTGTGTTATTATGGATAGCCCTGAACAGATACAAGGGTCTCCTACAATGTTGGGATGAACAACACTGGCAAGCAAAGAACTGAGATCAGAAAAATGCAGTGTTAAAGTCATCATTAGCCTTTGAGAAGGAGGCAGGAGAGAAAATTGTGTCTGAGAGTAATAAATTTTAAACTGAAAATAATTACCTTGAAGCAGAGAATATCTCGAAACTGAACCCTCTTAAAATGAAGTGGACTGTGTCAGAAATCTGCTTGATCTAACAAAATGCAAAGAGAAGCACTGTTGGAAAAGCAGTCCTCTGTCGCACCCACGTACATCTGCCAGTCGGTACATTACTCAGACCCCAAGACTTGGGAAGGAGATATCTGGTGTGAGTGATGATGAAATTATGGGTAGCCCCCAGTCTGCCTCTTGTTCGGTTCCCCTGAACCATTAGTTAAGACTGAAGCTGCTGTTCGTAGTGATGGGGAAATTCAAGCTACCCCACGTGAAGTCCCCTGGTCTGCATATTCTGATGAATTTTTTAGATTTGATGAAACTGCAGGAAAAGCATTCAAAACAACCAGGAGAATCAGCAGTGGAGTTTGCGTGGCAAGTTTCCCTTATTGGGCAGACCAAATCCTGCTCAGTGGGGAGGAAGGACAAGGCTGTTGGGGCCAGAAGTGTTTCTGACAACCATACCGGGAGATCATAATTATTGTCTAACTGCACAGGCTGCATTCTGGTCAGGCAGTATAGATCCTCAGGAGAGAGGAGACTCACTGGTAATTAAAACTGTAGGCTTATTGAAATTGTCTGAGTCAGTGCAGAAGCGCTGGTCCAGGGCGAGATACATACTCTCTGCCTCATTTGTCATGCAAAGGATTCAGACAGGGAAAGGGAAGTGCCTGCAGTGGCAAACTGCAGCCGAGAAAGGCAGATCTCCCTTGGTTTGCACAGTCAGGAGGTTTTGGAGAGGTTTTGTAAGGCACAGAAAAACTTGGTGAAGTTAGTAAAACTTCAAAAAAAAACTAAAGTAGAATTTAGTTTTTAGCCTGAGTTGTGCTTTTATAAAAGTTAGGCACTCAAAAAATGTAGGTTAGCTTTTATCATGCTTCTAATTTATATTCCATCCTTCCACTTAATCAGAGGCCAAACCTGAATACAAAGATTACTGATTACAAAGATTAGCTGCCGTGCTTTGTAAGTTCCTTCCTTTTTAGCTATATGTGTCAAGGATTGTGATGGGACTGAAATATACAAGGGATAGTGCCTGCTGGATTGCAGAAGGTACAGCAGCAAAGCAGGTCTTGGACTGCCACTGAAGTGATTGCCCTGCATTAAGTGTGGCAGCTCAGCTTTGGTGTCTTCACTCATTCTTGACAACTCTTAGCTAGAGAATGGGACAGATGAAATAACCTCTTTTCAGGTGGAGCTTGAAGTACGTATGAAAGAGGTTAATATTGAATCAGTGATCTAGGAACCTAGGAGTATTTCTTTTTCTTTTCCAAGTAATTAATTACTTTTTTTTTTTAACTAATAGGTTGGAGTTGGCTCTATTCACCTTGGTGTTACTTTGTGCATGCTCAGAGGGCTGAGTTTAATCTAGTAATGCAGTGTAACTTAGAGAGTTTAAAGGGGAGTGGACTCTAGTTTAACTGATGCTACCATACCTGGCTGTGACACTTGGTCAGCTGTAACTCGTCACTGTCCCTTCTTAAAATTAGAGGTGTGCAACCCCCTTAGAGAGAGAGGTGCATTTTATTTTAAATTGCTATTTATTTATGATACACAAGGTATTTCACACAGAAGAGAGGTTACTGGTTTGGACCATAATGTAAGATGAATTACAAAAGAGAAAGTTGGAGGCCACTTTTGGCTTAATGTTGACTTAATTAACTGTAGGCAAGGACAGGTCCCTAGCAATCTAACGTACATACAAAGGAATTCAGAGGCATCTAAATCACAGAAAGATTTATGCAGGGACCTGTGAAGACATATGTTGACGAAACAATCTAATACACAAAAATCCATTTATTAAGGAAAGTGTGGGGGGGCACAATGAGGTGCTCAGGTGCCACAGGGACTTTTCATATATGACTGCAAAGAAGAGAGGAAAAAAAAAGCTGATTTACCAGCAAAAAGTGTGTCCTTTGCCTGAAGAGGAGTGAAGGCAGGAACTAGTTTTTGTAAACCACAGTTTTAGAAAGTAAATAGATAAAGATAGCCAGGAGACACCTGTGACTGGCAGAGATAAGAACGAAATCCTTTTTTGTGCCTTTGGAACAGAAGAAACCTCAGTAATGTTAGAGAGAGGTAAACCAGGTAGGAATGATCAGGAGAGGCAGAACTGCTGCCAGGATGTTGCAAAGGAAAGGAAGGCTGATGCAACTAGACAAATTCATAGGATACCTCTCCAATCTAGTTATAACTTAGGACAATATTATAAATGTAGTCCTATGTACCATATATTTAGAATATGAATGTTGTGTATGCACGGTTTTATGCTGAATAAATGTTTAGGAGTTGGTAGGTTTGGATAATTTGCACTTAAATATGGAAGAGAACTTGGGCCACCTGCTTTAATTTAAACAAATCCAAACCATGTAACTGATACAGCAGAGGGCTGGAAGTGCCTTAGGAGCCTCAGCAGGGCAAGGAAGATACAGCTTTAGGCTCAGTAAATTTAGCAATCCTGCTGGGGAGGAACACCAAACAAACCACAAGACAGCCTCTTGCTGTTCACCAGAACCTGATGGCGGGTGTGAGTTTTGTGGGGAGGAGAAGTTTATCAGTCTTGATTTTATGTTTTTCTTGAAGTTTGCTTTCTTTGGGGATTTTCTTTTTTCCCTCTTTTTCCCTTTAATGTTGTGTTTTCTTTCCTTTTTCTTTTTTTTTTCTTTTGTGTTTTTTTTTTGTGTGGTTTATTTTGGTTTTTGTTTTTGCAGCTTGATCTCTGCATATTTTTTGGACATCTTACTTGATCAGAGTTTACATTCAGGTTATCAATGCAGCTGCATATCATTGAAGCATGTCTGACTAATTGGTAGGTACTAGTAGCTCTAAGTAGTAATTTTCTTTTTAATGTGACTGTTTCTAGATGAAATTTTCAGGTACTATGAAAGCTGGTAGGGTGGTAGATAATCATGAGATATTGTGTATTGGTAACGCCAAACACAGGATGCATCTCGAGCTACTGAATTCAGACTGTGCATATAGAATGAGTCTGAGAAAAACGTAGGGCTCATAATGCATAGACTCACCTAAACTAACTCGTAACAGTATGCTTCGAGTAGAAAGCAGTGTTACAAACTCCCTGCCCCTCCCCATCATGGAGACCCGTACTTGAACCATCCTGTAATTATTTTACAAAGGGTGTTGAGAGGAGGAGATGTGGCAGAGGAGAGATGGAATAAGTGCCGCAGTGGGAGGCTTGAAACTTAATCCCTTTTTCTGGTAAAATAGAGAGATTAAGGAGTGATTTGTGATAAAGTATTTTCACAGAGAACAAATCTCAAGCTGCAGCAGGCACTTGGACTTGGCAAAAAAAAAGCAAATGGTTTGAACTGATTTCCAGTCTACAGAGCTGCCTTTTAGCATGGAAGATATTTCACAGTGGGAGAGTGATTAACTACTGGGGTCAAGCACCAGGCAGAATAGCTGACTCCTTGTTTTCTGCTATCTTTAGTGAGTTCTGTAGGAGATTCAACAGGCTGGCTAGAGCTTTGTGCTCTGCATTGGGTCATGTAGCTATACAGCCAGCGTGGATCTTTGAGGTTCAGTAGTAGCTGTGTAATGAGAGGTTAAGGGTAGATTGGACACATGTCCTCACCAGGGCTTCCCTCTTGCATGTTTATGTGTCAGGGTTTTTTAACTTCTACAGTGGAAGTTTTGAATATTTGCATAAACAAGAAAAACCCAAAACAATGGGTGAAAAAGTACCTGCATAATGTGGGTCCTGGACCAGATTATATTTTGGGCTAATGCTCTGTAACTTTGGGCCATGCTCATCAGCTGATTGCTATTTGTGGAGGCAAATATGTTTTTCTCACTTGCGCCTCTAGGTTAAGTTTGTGTAAGTGGACATAGATTCATTGTAAGTAGGACTGGTGATTTGTCTATGGGTCCATTTACTACAGATGAGACCAGCAGGGACATTTTATGCACACAGACAAAAAGCCATGCTCTTTCTAATTGTTCCTGTATTTGGCTATTGCTTGGTGCCTTCCTCTTAATTAACTGGTGGTTTGACTTTTTTTTTCCAAATCCATCTGGCTCTCCTGACACTGTGTTGCTGTTTTCTGTATGCAAGTTAGGTCCCAAATTAAAAATTATTCAAAAATGTCTTGTATATATGTTGGTTATTGGTATTTGTTGAGGTAGCAAATAGTTTTATCTGTGGTTCTGTTTATTTCAGAAAGTCTTTTGGGATTTGCAGTCATGCTGCATGTGAGGAAGCTTCCTGCAAGCGGAGATGAAATACTGATCATCTTGTTTTTTCTTTTTCACCAGATTCCATTGTGATTGGATTTTGGGTTGGTCTTGCAGTTTTTGTTATCTTCATGTTTTTCGTCCTGACCCTGCTGACGAAGACAGGAGCACCACATCAAGAGTGAGTGTGAAAACTGGAACGAATCCAGCCTGCTAACTAGTGTGTCTGTTCTTTTGCAGACCCCAAAAGCAGTGACAATGCTGATATTGTACTGGCTCAGCACCATCATGTTCTAGTCTGTCCTTATGGAAGGGTGCAGTCTGTCTTTGTCTCTAGCCCTTCTTGGAGACCAATTCTGTAGAATTGTTATTAATGTGTTCTCTATTTAGCAACTAGTCAGTAGGATACAGCGAGAGAATGGAATAGCTGCATGTCTGCATTTTCATGCTAAAAGGAAGTTGGTGGGTAGGCTGCCAAACAGATGGTTTTAAATTACTGTTCTGCAGATAAATGGGGTCATTTTAGGTAGGCTAACTTTATGATGGAGTGAAACAGAAATGTGAATATTGACAGAGTATATACAAGTAAAATACAAGGCAGATGTTAAGGAAGCTGAAGACTGGCAGGCTTACACATGCTCGTGTGTTCAAGTCCAAAAGGTAGGTATTGGTAGTGTTTACAAAATCTCCCCTTAACCCTGTGGCTCCCCTAGTCCCAGAACGTCTCAGTTTCTGCTGAGAAAGTCCAGTAGATCCTGAAGGACAGATCAGCTCCACATGTGGTTAATACCAGGGTCCCCTGAAAGTCACAAACTGATCTTTATTTTTTCCCTTTTTGTTCTTTCTGGCTGATAAGTATGTGCAGACTGCCTTGCCATGGCCATTTATATGCATTTGCACAGCATGCAGACTGTCAGCATCCCTTCCTTGAAGAAAGTTTAAACCCACATCTCCTCTCAGACTAGCATACCATAAAGTAGAAGCAAAAAGCCCTTCTGGAGAGTGAGACTGCTTGCAGGCCGGCAGCAGTGATGAGAACCTGATTGTGAAAGGCAATTGTTAGTGCTTATCACTTTCTAAAGCAGCCTATCTCTGCCTACTGAAGGCCCTTTGCTATTTAGTCATATGTAGACTAGCTCTGAAACTTCATGTAATAGCACATCTCTGGAGACAGAGCCATATTAGGGAGGATGTAAGTATATCGTGACCCTCTTCTGTGCTCCTGAGGTTTTGCTTCTATGAGAAGGAAATAGTGTGAGGACTGAGCTTCCCAGAACAGACTTTCTAGTATTTTTGCCTCCCTTACAGACTGTCATAAAGTTACGTGACCATGGTCCCAAATGTATTTTAAGTCCTTCTAAGTGTTGGTATGCTGCCCCTTTTCACTGGAGATCTTGTTTCTTAGCCAAGCATGAGAGTCTGTATCCCATGTGAAAGGGAAATAAAGTGATGAAGTCAAATATACAGCAAAGATTTTAACATGTATATTTGTCAAAAGTTTGCACATTGTAAAAATGTACTTTCAGGTAGCAGAGGCCTGCTTGGTATCTCCCACTGTTCTGCTTTCTTCATCAATTTTCTTGGAAATGGTTGCCTAGAGAAGTTGCCAAGAAGGAGACCAAAATCTTGTTTTGGTCCCCTTTGACATCCAGATAACCTGACCTGAATTCAGAGTTGGCCTTGCCTTCATCAGGGCATTAGGCTAGAGACCTCCGCAAGTCCCTTGCAATCTAAATCTTAATGTAATTTTTCTTCAGTTGCTGAAAGCCCACTTACTCCTTTCTGTACTTGTTCTGAACTTCTTTGCAGCTTTGAAAGCCGTGTGCTTCAGTGTTTGCCTACTTACTATGTGTGCTGAGTTGGCACCTTGAACAAATTTGAGCGCTATTTTTTTGACATTTGATAACCAAATGTGTATGGTACTGGAAACAGATCATCCAGGAAAACTGTATGGGCAGTGAATACTGTTGTTTCCTCTTACTTTTGATACATGTATATAAAAACTGCAACATAAATACCTACCTGTAGAACCAGTGCAGACTCTGGTTTTTAGTTGGCTTTTACCTTCTGTCTTTATACCTGACTGGATTCTTCATGACTCATCGTTTCATCAGTGGGCTGTCTTGCAGCCCTCCTTTAGAAATAGATGTTAATGGGATTCCTAGGCCTTGGGAGAAAGCCAGCCTGATTGATGCATGTGTCTCTGACTTCAGTTAAGTCAATTTGGCTGTTCTTTTAAAGTACCATTAAAGTGAGACATAAGCGTAACTGGGTTCACATGGCTGGATCCAAAGTAGAATACTCCGATTTCTCTAATAGTATGCTTTTCTTGGCTCAGGATAAAGGGGTACAATAGCATGTACTTACCAAAATTGTACAAGATGTTCAGCATCGGGTACAGCCTTATACCAGAGGAAAAGGGTCAGGATATGGATGGGGGAGAGAGATATAAATTTAATTAGCTGTGGAAATGATGTCTGTTGCGCTTGTGTTTTGTTTGCTTGCACATTAGTATGTGTAGAACATTAGCTTGTGCAACAAAAAAATTGACAAGCTGTCTGAATTTCTGCCTGAAAAGTACGGTCATTCAACACTCAGAAGAAGACAGGACTCTGTTTCTGCCTTTAAAAACATCCTCACAAACGCATGTGTTCGCTGCACTGTGCAGCGAACACGTGTTTGAGTACTCGCTCTGTACAAAATACAAATACTGGTTCATGTCACCTCAAGGCTTCACACAGCTGTTGAGGCAGGTTTTACAACTAGTTGCAGTAAAGGTGAAATGACTGGTAATATTTTTTTAAGAAATCAGTTGATCTTGGTTAAGGATGGGTTAGTTCCCTTTGAGATGCCAAACAGTGCTATTTTGGGGAATTCGCTACTTACTCTTTTCCATGGTTTGCCAAGTACTTCAGGTCACTTTAGGGAGTGTTTAGGGGAGAGCTGTTTTAGCTATAGAGCTCAAGTGTTAGTCCCAAACCAGCATGCACCTGTTCGATGGGTATCCTGGGCAAAATGGTCCGTACCCTGACAGTGCACTCAAGTCCAGTGGGCAGAATCCAGAGCCTAGTACTGAATCCAGCAGACCAGAACCCAGCATCATAGGCTGGAATTTTCCCAGGAAAGGAGCTTGGGTTAGTTCATGGGCAGTGCTTGTTTTGAGAGGTTTTCTGTATGTGTAGTGCTTGAGGTGTCTGGCATTCACTTTTCTGCTCCCTTGTGGGCACCTTCTGGGACTCAGAAGGTCCCATTGGCCCAAATTCTGTGAAAGGGATTTGATTGTCCAGGTGGCTGTCCTCCCTTCCACAGTAAAACTGGTATTTCTGAAGCTGCTATTCTTAAGTGTTCTGAGAAGATACATGCTGAGGTATACTTGCATGCTGTAATGAGTGAGTCTACAATTCCTCCCCAAAATACAGAAAGATAGTGTTTGTGGGTTTCAGAATCCAAAAATACCACTGTGTATTACATCATGTGTTTTCCACTCATGAGCGCAGGATTATTCTCTATTGTATGTCCTTAACAGTATGGTTATTATAAAATTTCTTTGCATCTTCCATTCTTCTGTTAAGATTAGGTTGCCACTGTCAGTCCTGTGTGCCCCTCACACAGTCAGAATTTGCTCCTTCATAGCTCATGGTTTGTAAAGTACTTTCCACACCTATGAACAGGTTTTGCTTCTCTGATGGATACATTTTAAGCTTTCTTCCAAAGTAACTTCTTAGGCTGTTATCCTCTTTCAGTGCTTATTTGCCACCTCTGCTGTCCATGCCATAACACTACAAACTCTTAGTGACAGATTTGCAAAACCGTATACGCCAATTAAATTTGGAAGGGTGCTTTCTGTTGCATTAGAAGTACATAAATGATAGTCATCAGTTCTGAAAGCTACCACAGTATTATTCCAGTCTGTTTGCCTCCTGGTGTGCATACAGCATAGTACTTAGTTACTGGACTGTTTTGCATCAATTTAAGTACTATGCTTCTACATGCTTCCCTTTGAAATGCAGAATGAGCCATTACAGTTTTGACAAACTTAAAGACTGCTTTGATTTGAAGGCTACTGTAACTGATTTTGTTGGGACAGAGTTCTTGTTTATGTGACTGAAGTAAATTAGTATGTTTAACTATGACTGAAAGACTGAAAGGTTTTCAGAGTAGATTTCTGAAGGTGCCATGAGGCTTTTAAAAGCATGTAGGCACTTACTTCCTACTGCAGGCTTGAGGGAATTAAATGACAGTGTTCCTCTGAAAATCTATGTAACTGCTGTGTGCACTTAGGTGTCCAACTATCTGGCTCCAGTGTCATTTGCTAGGAGTTCACATGTAAACAGTATGATTTATTAATTCTTATGTAACAATTCTTACTTAGCTTTTATTCTGAGAATGTGTCTATAGAGTTTTCACTACTCATCCTCTGAATACCTCTACTGCCATTCAGATGCAAAGAACTTGCATTTTGTCACGACAGTATATAAATTCAGCCTGACAAAGAATGCATTACTAGCTGTAAAACCAACACCCAGCACAAGCTTTCCTCAACCCCAGCTTTTTATGACTCTTGCACAAGGCCATGCAGATTGGACCTGGTTTGAGCTAGCACTTCTAGAAAACTTGAGAAGTGTTAAGATCATGCAGTCAGCTAGGTTGGAAAAGGTTGGAATAGACCTTTTAGATCATCAAGTCTAACCATTACCCCAGGACTGACAAGACCACCACTGAACCATGTCACTGAGAGCCTTATCTACACAGCTTTTTAACAGTTCCAGGGATGGTGATTCCACCACTTCCCCGGGCAGCCTGCTCCAATGCATGATCACAGTCTCTGTGAAGAAATTGTTCCTAATATTCAGTCTAAACCTTCCCAGCGCAGCCTGAGGCTGTCACATCTTGTCCTATTGCTCCTATTAGACTGACCCCCACCTCACTACGACCTCCTTTCAGGTAGTTGTAGAGAGCGATGAGGTCCCCCTGAGCCTTCTCTTCTCCAGAATAAACCCAGTTACCAGCTGTTCCTCATCAGGCTTGGGCCCCAGACCCTTCACCAGCTTCACTGCCCTTCCCTGGACCTGCTCCAGCACCTCAATGTCTTTTGCGTAATGAGGGCTGCAGAACTGAGCATGATATTTGAGCTGTAGCCTTGTAAGTGCTGAGTACAGGGGGATGATAACAGCCTTGGCCCTGGCCCTGCTGGCTATGCTGTTGCTGATAAAAGATGTCCTTCCTGGGCTATGTGTCTGAATTAAGACTGACAGACTTCACAGCAGTCTTTAGTTCCAGCTCTCATTTGGAAATCTGAATGACACTGACTGAAGTCAGTGAAAGGGATAGTTTGATGTCTAGACAACCAAGTACTCAAATTATACCTTTAGTGACAGCACTGCTGCCTATGTCTCAGATGTTTTTTCTCACAAGTGTTTGATAAGCCATTCTAAACAACCTGTTACTACTTGATATCAAAAGGAAGTACTGGAGAATATTTCTAAGCTCATTTATTGAGCTCATTATAACAGTATATTGATTATTAGAAGAGCCATTTAAGAGCACTGGCATTAACTTATTCACGTGGAAAATCATCACAACAAAACAAGACTTAAAATCACTTTAGCAGAAAATAATAAAATTTACAGTCTGTGGTAGACAAACTGTAGGGTTTCCTTCCTTCCTGATCATAACGGTTGCTGAAAGCAAATTTGCTGTTAAAGACGTGAACATTTGTACTTTTTGTGCTTACTGTATTTCTCTCTTTGCTCCCTAGCAATGCAGAACCTTCTGGAAAAAGATTTCGCATGAATAGCTTTGTGGCAGATTTTGGAAGGCCTCTGGAGTCGGAGAGGGTCTTTTCTCACCAAATAACTGAAGAATCACAGTCACTTTTCCATTTCTGTATTAATGAAGTGGAACATTTGGACAAAGCAAAACAAAATCAGAAAGGTCCAGGTCTGGAGAGTAATACCCATTTCCAGGAAGCTCCCAAGAGCAGCGGTATGTTTGAGGAAGACCTACATTGTCTTACAAAATTTAACATTCCTAACTTTGTGAATGCTGAGCAGAACTCTTCGCTAGGTGAGGATGATCTCCTCATCTCAGAGGCACCAGTCGTTTCAGATAGCAGATCAATCATGCAATCTTCCCATCGGATCCTTGACTAAAAAGCCTTTTACTTTAAGGTAAACATTCCTGTTACTCTCCAGTTTGAAGCCCTTTGTGGACTTCTGGTATTGTGATAGAAGGTATTTCAGATGTGTTTTCTACTGTATGTAAGACTGTCTGTGCTCACTCAGCTCAGTTTAGATAAGAAGTAAACCACTTATAGCTTTATTCATGCTTTTTGGTTTTGTTATTTTTTTTGTTTGTTTGTGTTTTTTTTTGTGTGTGGGGTGTTTTGTTCTTTGTTTTTAAATCATAGGGTCTCAGAACGGTTTGGGTCGGAAGGGTCCTTCATCTGGTTCCAATGGGCAGGTATACCTTCCACTAGACCACATTGCATAGGGCCTCATCCAATCTGGCTTTGAACGCTGCCACAGATGGGGCATCTGCAGCTTCTCTGGGCAACCTGTGCCAGTGTCTCACCACTTTCACAGTGGAGAACTTCTTCCTAATGATAATATCCTATTTATCTAATCCTAATATCTAATCTAAATCTACTTTCTTCTAGCTTCAAGGCATTCCCCCTCGTTCTGTCACTACCTGCCCCTATGTCCAGCTTCTGAAGGGTACCATCATGATTTGCAGAGAGTGTAAAGGCTGTAGCCTGGCACTGGGAGGTGTATGAAAACTGCTCATCCAAGAAAAGTCTAAACCTCAAGTTAAAGCTGGAGCAAGGGATAAGTAGGTGGTCCCTGGGGAAGTTCTGCAGCTTCTGTCACTCCCCAAAAGGCCACCTGAAACTGAGCAGCACAGTTGGTATCTGCTTCGAATTAACTTCAATTTCTGATACCTAACTGCTTCTCGGTGCAGGTTAAATTGGTACTTCAAAGGGACAAATTGGTACTTCAGAAGGACATTCTGACAGTTGCCCAGTGATAACCTGGAATTACTATCATACATACAAACAGTAATTTGACTTTTTTGGTTTGTATTAAATTGCTGATGTGAACTTCCAGTTTGGTAAGTGCAGGATTCAGTAGCTAAATCACAGGAAATTGGATAATAATTATTCCTACATATTCATAGAGTTGCTGTATGCAAATAAATGGCAGTGACACATTAAGTTGGTGTTATACTTTGCTTATAGGCTTTTTGGCTCCATCAGTGGCCTTTTTCTTGATCAGTGGGCCAGCAAAGGGCTAGCAGGTGTGAAGCTGCGGGGAGGACCACCTCCAAAAGCATGGCTGAGCTGCACTTTCTGTGTTTTTCTTTTGTACTCAGTTGGGATGGTGTTGCAACCACAGCTGTTCTCCCAGGGAAAGGGTTGTTGAATAGGTGTAATTTCAACCTTTATTTTTTTAGAGAAGTAATACGGTTCTGAACCCTAGCCAGAGCTTACATTTAGCTTTCTTAAAAAAAAAATTGTAACTAATGGCCAAATGATTTTACAGCAAGCACATAGGATGCTGAGGAACCAGGTTTAAATCCTTTGCTGGGTTTGGGGTAAGAGTGCTCTGCAGGCAGTTATTAACCAAAAGGAAACTAATGGATCCAAGATATGGTGCATAACTGGGTTTTCTTGAAACCAACTTGCTTTGTATAGAACATGTTTGAGTGAAAATGTAGGAATGGCCTGCTGGTATGTTCTTTAGCTACTTCAATGCTTAAATTTGTTAAGCATTCATTTAATAAAATGATTTAATTCTTCCTTCACCTGACAAAGAGAATAAATAGTGAATGGCTTGTAAATTTAAAGAATGCAAAGACTGGGGAAACTTCTTTTGTTTTTTAACTCCTGTGCCCTCATAAACCACTTACACCCAAATTTCCTGTTTTCAAATGTAATTCTTGCACTACTTCCTAGTGTTTAAAGAATGGGATTATACTTAAAGCAAAGCAGAGACTGTTTAAAACAAGCAGACTATTGTTGAAAGTAGTTCCCAAGAGGAGACTGAAGTGAGCCCTGTTATGAATGAGCATAGCTGTACAGGTTGCAATGCAGATCTTGAGGTGCAGAAAAGGCCTTCTTTTACAGTAAGTACTTAACCACAAGTATAAAGGCTGTAGCTGTACAAGTTCCTTTTTCTCTTCCCAAATTAAGAAGTTACTTGCTGTTCCCCATCAGTTAACCTGAGATTTTCATCTGGTACCTTAAATCTTTGTGGCTTTTGTTTGGGTGCATAACTGCAACTTTGGGAGAAAGGAGAAATATTCATGTGAATGGATGCTGGTGACAGTTAGCACCCTTAGACGAAAGGCATTTATAAAAACGAGCAAGGGATAAGGCCAACTTCACTTATACCACATTTGAATTGTTTTCTCAGTGTTGTCACTGAAATGCAGGAAGTAACCTCTCTGAACAGAATGACACGTTAGAAAGCCGACATTACTTTGTTCCTATGCTGGCTGCATGGGGCATCACTCTCCCTGCCATGCACCCCAATAAGGGACAGTTTACAGCTTTTATGTCTTCATTACATACATATTCATCATAATTCCGTGAAATGACCACCCAATTCTTGTTACTCATGCGTATGGTAATTTGGGTAGATCAGGCTGTGGCACAGAGGCTGTGACTTCAAGGAGTGGTCACTGGGGGTTGTGATGGTCCTCTGGGGAGAAATACCTCTACTCATTTTATCCTTTTACAGAAATCTGTTAGTTAAGGACATCAGAATGCATGTTTAGTCTTGCCAGTTAACTACATGTTCTTGTTTGGTCTAATCTGCATCCCTGAGAGGCTCCTCAAATTGTTTTCTTTTGCTGCTGTTTACTTATCTCTCAGGCCTTATCAGCAGGCTGAAGGCCTACACTGGTTTGAGAGAAGACATCTGGTCCTCTTGTTGCATGCTTTCCTTATCTTGAGAATCCTTGTAGTCTTGTTCATGTCTGTGTCTCTATGAACAGTGGAATACTGATTTAAGAATCTGAGTAGCCCTGTCTGTGTCTAAGTCCCTATATATAGTAAACTATATACTAGTTTAATTCAGTATTGGTGTCCTTCTAAAGCATGTGTTAATCCTTTACAGGTATTTAAGCGTTTGGTTCCTGCTTCTGTTCTTGCACTTTTTCCATTTATCTCCCTTCTACCTCTAAAGTAAGTCCTTCACAGTGCTCTTTACAGAAAAATAACGTGGTGGTCCCTCCTGCACTGCTCCCACATGGCTGCAGAAGCACTGTGGCAGCAACACAGTCTGATTCACATGTTTTGCTCTGCCTCTGCAGCAGAGCTGAGTCAAAGGCAAATGCAGAAATTTTCTGCAGTTTTCAAAAGCAGTTATTTTAAAGCTCACTCTTTTTCCTTTTAGAACTAATAGACACGATGTGTTGCCCCAGGGGTAACGGGAGTGTAATAAGAAACTTTGTATAACATGTTAAAAGTTAACATTTCCCAGAAAATAATGAAGTGAATAGAAAGTGTTTTGATCAGGATAATCCTTCAAAAGGGGTGCTAGGAATTTAATGGTGTTTGCAGATGGAATTATTGCAAATTTTCCTACTGCTTGGCCTCTCTATTCCAGAGCCTATTCTGAAATCCTGCTGTAAATGCATCACCTGTGGTAGATTTCACTTCACAGGGAGTTCCCCTAAGAAAATTACATATGTTTGCATAAAAATGTATTGTATTCTCTAAGAACCTATCAGGTCAAGTTATATACTCCAGTTTTCAAAGTTAAATATTTGTGAAATGTTCTTCTGTGTAAACAAGTATTAGTTCTCTACCTTTAAAACAAACAACCCACCCAACCTACAATGTAAAATCAGAAGCTGCCTGCTCAATAGAGAAGAGAAAGGGAAAGGTAAAACGATGCACTCTACTACAATCTGATGATACACAGTCTCTGAAGCTAAACGGTGAAGTAAATGCTGTGTATTTGTTATGCAATTCAGTATTTATGCACCTTCATATTGAGACTGTTTTTGCCACTATGTGACTAAAAGAATTGCACAAGCCCCTAGCAAAGGAGGAAGTCAAGTGTGCGTACCCTCCTACTCTGCCCTCTCCTCCAGTGAAGGATGACAAAGCAAAATAAATCAACTGGAGATACTGCAGAGCTGGAACGAACTTACTTGGCAGCCTTGGATATTGTCAGGCAGCAAAGAGAGCACAGAGCCACCACACAGCCTTTTACCACATATTCTTCAACACACGCAAGAGTTGGAGGGCTGCGCTTTCTCATTTTTGGACAAGAGGTGAGCAGGTAGCTGTATGAAAAGCTAAATGTTACAATTCACAGTTATCAGAGGACTTTCTGTTCCAAAACATCAGGGCAGCACTTGACGCACAGTCCCCTTCCCCATAGAAATTGGATTTGCACAGCTTGTCCTAGTATACAGATCCTGTTCTCCAGTTTTCCAGAATAGGTCTACCAGATAGACTTCGAAGTGTATTATGTACTAAGAAATAGCCTTCATCCATTAGAACCTTTTTGATTTGTTAAGTGAACAATTCTGGCATATATTTCAGAGAAATTGAAATAGAACTGCTTATGTCTCTGCTGCAAGTGCTGTGCTCCTCTGCACACCCTGTTCTCTCTCAAAGCAAATGTCTTTTCTGCAATGTAGGCCACTGAGGCACCTGGCCAGCTGCACACTTGGTTTCCTAAAGCTTCAAACATGGCAATTCAAATTACTGTATGCCAGCTGCTTTCTTGTAAACAAATGAATTCCAGCTAAACATAAGGCAATGATGCAAAGAAATTATCTTTAAGATTCTTTTAATCTATCCATTATAATGGCCCCTGGAAATGCAAAATGAAATAGGATAAAAGAAGAAGAGGAAAAATAAACACAAAGCAGTATACAATTATATTACTCTGAGAGATTGCACCAAATTCCTCACTGGAATATGGTAAAAGCTAATGGCCTGTTCTGTCAGCTCTGTTTCAGGGTATGTTCCAGGCTGCTGGAGAGTCACAGACTTATAACTTTAGCAGAGAATTTAAAATTTGGACCTTAGTTCTCCAAAAAGAAGCCATTACTACAGCTGCTCAAGACCAGAGGTAGTCTCTTACTGTGTAGATCACCCACTTCATGGGGAATGCCTGAAAAATAAAGACCATGTAGTGTGTAACTACATAAATACATGTGAGAATGCAGTATAAACCATAGTATAGCTTACAGTAATGGTCAATAATACTGTCCCTGCTCA